CTTCCACCGAAGCCGCACATTTTTCACAATTAGATCAATTGAATTTAAGGTCTATAGGACTAGACTGAAATTTGATGTAATATATGCTGCCTTTTGGTAGCGTGTGCATATTACGCGGTTATCAGACAGTGACTCACGGAGTTTGGTCTGTGTGTGTAGACCTTAAATATACTGATGTATTAAGAGAACAGAAACTAATTTCTAAAGAAATTAAAAACTCAACTTTTCAAAACAGTTATATCAACCAGAAAGCAAACAGAGAAATCTGGGCCATGTCCTGATTAACCGGACCCCTTGCTGCTATGTCAAGCAGCGGCAGAATACCGGCGAAGCACTTGTCTGGGCCTTCTAGCTTCTATTTGCTCTGTTTGTATGATAAAGTACAACATCAATGTATACTATTGTGAATTGTTACAGATCATTTTATTTTTGTCAAGGGAGTTACTTCGTATGGCATATAAGTCAAGCATGTATAAGTCGTCTGTTTCACACATAGATTAATATAAGCAGCCAACATATTTTAACATCTACGCGAATCTGCTTGAGTTCAAACTCAAGTCGCACCAGTCGCTTCGTGTGGCTGTGAGTATATCGCATATTTATTCTTCCATTTTTCTCTTGTTAAAATGTTGATAGAATATTATTATTAGGATCTCTAAGGTGAATGTGCGATGCGTCAAAAGAGTCCACATAACGCCCTTGTTTCATATTATTTGGGGACCTGATTCAAGAGTAAAAAGACAGGCTGTCAGCCCTAGTGACCCACAAGACTGAGACAGGTGACTAGAAATTATGGTTGACCGGAAGCGTGGAACGGGAACTTCGCCTCCGCACTGAAGAATTAGCTCAAGGCTGTTGTTGTTGTTGTTACGCTCTTTGCTGCCCTGTTTTGTCTGTCTTTTGCCGTCTTGAACCATTAATTGCCAGCACGGCAGACGCCCTTTGCTTAGCTGCCACTCGTGGTTTGTACAGATTGGACATTTAATCAACCAGTGGCCTGTCTGCTGACCGGAAATGACGTAATAATGCTAGTTAACTCCTCTGATAGGCTCTCCTCATCCGGGCGTCTAAAACTTTCATGAATCATATGTGAAGTATGGTAATGTAATCTTGAAAGC